AAAACAGGCTGGGCGGAGGTAGAAGGTTACATCTGACAAAAACACATCCAGAAATGTGTTTGGAAGCTGGGTTTCCAAGCCAAACAGGCAAAGCTCAGATGTTATCATGCTGAGTGCGTAACTAAAATGCTTAGAAGAGAATGGCATCTTTAGCCGGAGCTTAAACCGCTTGGCTCAGTGACAATAAACACCAAAATTGTGTGCCACATGCTCATACCCATGCACACGCTTTAAATGCTCACTTGTATGCACAGGCTGCCAGAAACCGGAACGTTTGGTGTCTCGGGCAGGGCGTGTGACAGACAAGGCAGTTGAGCTCCCTCCATAGCAGATCTGAGGCAATCACCAATGCTCTGCACATCATTTTACATGAGCAGAGACACTGTAGCAGATGGTACGCAGAAGGTGAAGACCAGGAGGTCCACACCACTGTGGATTCACCGCAGAACCAGACTGGCTTCAGACAGAACCTGGCATAAACTGCACCAGTCAACCAAATCCTCCTGGGGTTTGGTCGATTATGGGCAGATCTGGGTTTACTTTGGTCCCCTGCACCAGACTGTAAGTGTTTATCGGGTAAATTAAACAAATGCCTGCCTCTCTGTTATGTCCAATGGCCTTAAATACAGCCAAACCTCTTGCAGAGTCACACTGAAGAGGAGTGATGAGGCGGTAAACTGAATCAAGGTGCATGGATTTATGCTCTTTTACAACCCTGTTACACAATGTGCAACAAAAGTTATTTATCCAAGGTTTGAAATGCATTCCAATGGGAGCAGACTGAGCATCGTGCCCAGAAGACAGTTATCACAGTTACAGTATAAACACAAAGTGCACACAGATGTTAGAACAGACAGTATTAGTGGTGGCTGGATCCGAGCACTCAGATGACTGATGAGATGCAGGGCTTGGCCCCATCTGAGCCCTACAGCAGCAAAGGTTTCTCTGGTTACATACACGGGAGATCAATATGACCATAAAGGCAAATAGCTCTCCAAGTACAGGTACATAATCCAGTGGCCAATGATAATCATTATATGTTTCTTCTCTTTGACTTTTTTTGTCTCTGCCTTTTTCTGCTTCCATGCTTTTTCTTTCCATGAGGTCAGCAGGGTGACTGTGAGTCTTCATGGACTAGTCATAGAAGCATTTTGAGTGTAAGTTGAACTGCACTGTTCTGGAAAACCAGGTCTTGCATATGTTTCTACTATCAGTTCCAAAATTTGGAACTGATAAAAGTTAGAAATGTTTAGTGTTCCATAGCTTCATGTTGTATAACTTCTGTTCTTGCTTGGGTTGGCAGTCTCCTGTACTACAAGAATCTATTGTACTTTTACCTATAAGTCAAACGAGGAGAGCTGCACAAACATCACTCCTGCCTCCTGTTAACATAAAGACTTTTGTGCTGCCTGGGAATCTGAAAGCTTATTTGTAAAGCTGTTGGAAATTAGCCTGGGCTGCAATGGTGTGTTTTGTTGGACTTTACTCCCATTAATACCCCAAATCAGGGATAACATTAAGAGTGGGGGGTTAGATTTTTAAAGATAAGGTTGCTTACACAGTATCTACTAACAAGGCAGAAGCAGGTATTCAAAGGCTGTAATAGAGTAGGTGGCAATGAGAGACAAAAAAGCAAAATAAAGATGGACTGATAGGCAGTGCAGGTCAGCAGAAAAAAGAGGGAGACAAAGAGGAACTGCACTTGTCATATCTGTTTGTAAACCAGTGGATCTGATGACAAGGTGCTAAAAAATTCTGTAATGACAACAATATGGAAGAGGCAGCTGCTGCAGTGTTGATGCTCTCCTCACCTCCCCTATTCTCTCCTCCCTTCAGCTCACAAGACGGAGAGGGGGGATCTAGTCTGTCGATGCTGATAGTGCTGAAGCAGCTATTAATAAAGTCTTTTTATTGCTTGTAGCCTGTTAGGAGCAGGACTCCAGGGAACCAGGAGATAGAAGAGCATTTTACTGTCTCTGGTGTGCAATGCAGATGCCTAGCACACACATCAGCCAAGCAGCGGTGAGACGAGACTTCCTTAAGTCTCTAGAGATTGTCTGGCACAGTTTCCATTCAAGCATAATAACCTTTATTTTATCAGGAAGTCCCATTGAGATCAAGATCTCTTTTTCAATAAGATAACAACAAACCATATTCAAGAAGCTGGATGGAAACTGAAGAATATGATAAATATCTTCATGAACATTGCATGGTCAGTTTTCCACTGATTTGCTGTTTTGGCAAGCTATATGCTTAATAGCAACGGAAATACCGTTTCAAAAAAAAAAATAATGGTGCAGCCTTTGTTTAGTTTCTGTGCCAAAAAAAAAAAAACATACAAGTAAGTCAGACTGCCAGATCTGTCCACTACAGCTTTCCTGGACACATGCAGTTGTCCATTTTAGTTGGAACACTGCAATACTCCTTAGAAAATATTCCTGAAATTATGTACAACCCAGATAGTGGAAACACATACAATTCCCATTGTATTTTTTGCCAAATTTCAAAAACTGGCTCAAAATTAGCTTGACATTTGGATGGAAACTGCACTTTTGACAGTGTACCACAGCATTCTGTATTTTGTCCGATTGTGTCCTCCCAAAATGTTTTCCCGCCATTTTGGGTGTATTACCAGAACAGCAAATTAATCCACACAATGCAACTGATATAAGGTGTTTGCACTGATCGACAACTTCTATGAAACACATCAGGCACGATTTACATGACTCGTCATATTTGCTGTGGAAACGTCTTGCCTCTTGACATTAAACGGGCTTTACTTTCTCTGCTTTTTTATGTTTTGCAGAGGGATTACAATACACAGAGCGGAAAGAATAAGATCATTCATTCTGTCCATCTGAGCTAAAGACAGAAATCAGTCAGTGACATCCAGTGTAATCTAACTACGCAGAAATGTAGAAGCACAGCCACAAATAGTACATACTTACTGTATATGCAGCTTGCTCTTATTTCCTGTCTCAATTTCCTCTACAGCATCACCATGCTCTGCAGTTATACAATCCTGTGCGTATCATAAACACTGAGGTCTAGTTTCTGGTGAGGAGAGCTGATGAAAATGTTTATTTTCTTAAGTTACAACTGGAAGTTATAAGCACTTATATTTTTTATCTGACTATACATTCTGTAGGCTGAGATAACAGTTTCCTATATTCTATTTAAAGATGTAATTGATCATATGAGTTGGCAAAGCCTTTTTCTTTTAAGCAGCATTAAGGGCCTATAGCTTGCAAAGTCCAAGGCATTTTTATACATATAAAAAGTCGCCTAGCTAGCGAGGTCTTTCATAATGAGCCACATACTGCAGCCACTCTTTGAATCTCTTTCTTCCATAGGCTTCGATCACTTCCTGATCACCTACAAGGGTGGTCTGTCCTCCCCTTGGGCTGTTTTATCATCACTAATGGCAAGTTATTATTTTACAGTGTCAGATGGTCGAGCGCCCCATGCAGCAGTGTTGGATCTGTGGAGTTTTTCTTCTCTGACTGACTTAAGTGGCTTAAATTTTTATCTTATATTTATTTGAACTGAAGAGTGTCGCATTTCACTCACTTTTGCCAAGTGGGGATTTTTCACTACCAGTTAAGCGGTGGGGAATTAAAAACACATGCCTATGTCTGAAATTTATCTTTATTAAACGGGCCACCACAGCACCTCACAAACCCGGAGGGCTCTAAGATGCACACACAGTGACACTGTACACAGAAAGCTTTTAACCATACCCAATTTTCCACAGAGACGTAACTCAGTCACTGGCTTTGGGAACTGTACTGAGAGGTTTACAATGTCCACATCACCAGAGAACAATAACTAAGTCAGATGAACACGGGGAGTCTGCTGTCGGTTTCTAAAGGAGTGCAGAAAAATGCTTCTGCTATGCGTTCAGTTTCCAACAACTTTCCATCAGTGATTTCAAGCAGTAACCATGCATAACAATGGCAAATTTTAATTAAAGAAGGTCATAAAGTTTCATGGAAAAGGTCAAATAGGCAAAACAAAATCATGAAGAGGTGTGCTGGGGTTGGGCAGAATTCCCTTAACAAACAGGACAGGCCTTTAGGGACTAAATGTGCCATGGAATCACAGTTTCCAACCCAGAGAGGAGCAACTGCCTTGGCAGTGCTGAAACCTGAGAAACTATCAGGGTTTATTTCAAGTTTATTTACTCTTTCACCACTTAACCAAATGATTGTACCATTCAACACTCCAGGCCAAAAATGAAAAAAAAAAAAAAATCCCCAAGATTAGAACAGTTTTCTCTTTCTCTTAAGCAATGTTTTGCTTCTTTTGACAGCGTGACTGATATCTGCCACTGTAATTGCTTCCTTATTTGGTGAATTAAATATTTACACTTGGCTTATCCTAATCCAAAGTTTATGAGAGATGTACAAGTACATTAAGGGAAAAGACATTTATTTTAAAAGCGCTGTTAACTGAGGCCATCATCCCAAATGGTGTGTTTGGATCATCTGAGAAAAATTGTTTACTTTTGGGGGGAAAAAATCCCTTAGCTATATTCACACATGAAGAAATGCCAGATTTGACTTCTCACTTAATGGCCTGACATACACGCAGTGTGCACCGCAAATATCTCTCTAAGTTGACGGAAAGAAACACAGATGGCCATTGAGGAAACCTGCAGTTCGTACTTTGAAGAATTCCAGTGAGGAGAGAAAGGGAGATGGAGGGGGCTATACCTTAGAAAAAGACTTGGCTTGAACAAGGCCATGGTGGAAAAATATGGATATTTCATGCACGGAAACGCCACTGTGCACCTCAAAAACACAGATGGTGAAAAAAACACATCTGAGTGTATGGTACAAGGGTTATATGAGACAGGTGAAACTGAGAGAGGGGGAGGGAGTTTTCCTATGGGATCAGGGTGCTGTTATCTTTAATATTCACCAGAGTAGTGTAGACTTGGGACTAACTGAAAGAATATGTCTCTGACACACTAACATTTGGCTGTACAAAATTCTTACCTCTTCTGCAGTGCCTCATGGCCATTTTGCACATCCTGGACTCAGCAATGGTGGGACAGGGTATTGTGTCCTTGGGCGGTTTCTTTACAATGTGCCGCGTCCGGGTCTCCAAACCCCACTTATAGCCACAGGTTTTGTTTCTCCTGGTGCAGGATCCCCATTCACTCCACTGGCCTACCTCGCAGCCCTCTGAGACACAAAAACAGTGATGTGCAGTGACACTACAGCAGAGTGCCATTTAGAGGCAACCCAAAGACCCCAGGTCAAACTTTAATACAGGATAATGGGATGCTCCCAGCTGAACATCTTGTTTTTAGGTCCAAAATAGAGACCAACTAAGAAATCAGAATATCTGTGTACAGATACATGAAGCTGTAAAAGACATATTTGTTTACTGTCTTGAAACTGGATTTGTTTTGTACCTGTGTGTGTGTTGTTTCACATACCTCCACACTCCATAGTGTCTTCCAGTGGGGCAAAGCCCTCGGGGCACTTATCAAAGCAGTGCCCTTTGTGTAGGTAAAAACCTGACTTGCACTTGGTGCAGAATTCTTTACTGAAGCAGGACTCGCAGTTCTCTATCCTGCACCCTAGAGTAAGAAGGAAAGAGAGAGAGAGTGTGTCATCAGGATCTGAACATCTGTCTCATCTGGAGCTGCTTGAGAACTAAATGGTTTGGGGAAGGGGGTTCTTGAAAGTGTTATACCATTGCGCCTCCAAAAAAGCCAACACTGTCCTGCAAACCATTTCTCGCTGGGGCATAAGTGTATTTCAGAAAACCTGTTTGTAAAGCAGACATTTTTTTTATTTGACAATATGAAAACAAAAGAGGAGAGAAAGGGAGGAGTTGTGTCACACACCACATGCAACAAGCTACATACAAATACATTACTGGAGCTCTCATGTTTTGTGCTGTGTGCTAGTGGTGTGCTGCAACAAGAAGACTATATCCTATTAGAGCTGAATAGTGCTCTTAATATTATCTTATCACTCCACAGTGCTCCAGCCTGTGGCTGTTTCTGTAGCTGAGGATTATTGGGAAGTCAAATTTTTATTACAGTGTGAGTGATGCAAACAATCACAAAACTGGTCAGCTGTGTGGAGGTTTAGGGTCCAGCATAAAGGGGGAGAAGGTGGGTGGGGAAGGGGGAGGTGTGGGGCTGAAAAACATTTTGCATTACCTTACCAAACAAATGCTGATGCATTTAATAGCAAACACAACAGCACACTTCTTCTCCCATGACACACCCAGCCACTGCGCATGACACCGTGCCACACTTGCAAAGAAAGGCCCAGCAATGTGTCATCAAACTCTTACTCTGCAAATAACACATCAGGCAGGGCCAAATTACAACCACAGCAACAGGGCGACGCTCAGGCCCACATGATTAGAAGGAGCCTCCTGGCACTGTTTAATTTATGATGCGCTCGACAAGCTCAGTGTGACCTGTTGCCCAACTGGATTCCAGTGTACAGCAACCACAGTATATTATCCACAGCAACCATTTCCCTATACTTGCAGGGGTCTTCTCAGGTAGGTTTGTCATCTGCTCTTATGAGTGTATTGCACAGGGACACGAACATGCATGTGTTTCTCAATGGTTAAATGTGCTTTACTGTGATTTTCCACATGTGAGAGCGACAGCAAGGGCTGCTCTTTTATCTGTGACCCTTGCAGGGCCCGGGGAAGGGAAGGTTCTCACAATCACGCCCCTTAATTACACCATCTCCAGCTAACCATCAGGCCTCCTCCTCGACATTCCTCCAAAACGAGGGGTTCCCTTTGAACCCTAAAGTATGGTCTTTGCCCACTCACTCTGGTCTCACGCTTTCCCAACCAGTCTAAACAAACCATGATCACACACACATACACAAACACACACATGCCAACCAGATATGGCTGCAAATAAACCCACTCTGCAATGAAATTGTACTCCGCATTCTAAAAATATTATTTGGGCCATAAATCATTGTAATTTCTTGTATGTTCACATCATTCTTATGTCTAGTCTGATGTTATTTAGGCATTTCTCATTCCATTTATCTTATATCTGCATATATGTCTTGGATCTCTGAAGTTGGTTTTTTTGTGGTTTTTTTTTTTTTTTTTTACTTTTTGCACGTTGTCCACTTCTATTTGTCTATCTGGGTAAAACTAAATCCGTCAGGCTTGGGTATGATGCAAGATCAGCTCAATACTGGGAGCAGGCTAATAAATCACAAAGTTTATTAAAAAGCATGAAGCTGTCTTTTAGCCTTCACACTTCCCAAGCCTGTCATCACCTGGGAGACTTTTGGCTCCCAAACAAAAAAAATAAATAAATGAATAAAATAAAAGCATACGTAGGGAGGGGGGAAGAACATCTGGCAGTACTCACAAGCAGTGGGACTGTTGTGCAATCTTCAGTTATTGACAATAAATATGAGCAACACAGATGTGTGAAATCTTGTATTTTAGCAGCAGCATCACTTGACAAGGTTTTTGATTAAAACATCACTCTTGGACTCAGTTTCAGATATAGTCAGGCAATGGTGCAAAAGCTCGGAAATCTTGTTTTCTAAGTAGAAGATATGTGATCAAATCTGTGAGATAGATGAGGTGAATGACACATCAGTTCAGTTCCATGGGAGTTAGAATGCTAAAAGGCAAAGATTGAGGGTCAGAGTTCATCACTGCTGGGTAGGAATGGAACATTATGGCAGATATTTATCCCTCTGTCCACTTATCAGGCAAAAGGCTATCTGGGACAGCGAGGTCTATCTGTGAGACAGTGGAAGCTCCCACACTGACCACTGGACGGTCAGCCAGCCATGTCAGCAGTTAATCTAGGCAGCTTGTCCAGCTGCTCCAGAAACAGATACAGGGGAGCGGGCTCATTCTCTTTACAGGATTAACCTCTGGACCACCTTTAAAGTCTTTGTCTAGGTGCCTCAAGGAGACTAATGAGAAATAATGAGGCCATCAGATCCTTGAAGGCCCAGTGTTCATGGGACTTAAACGTTTTACCATCATTATCTCCGGGACTGGTTCTAGCCATGCGTTATACTCTGAACAGAAGAGGAAAAGCCTTATATTTTAACTCTGAGAGAAATACCAAAGCTGCCAGTAAAGTGGCAGAGGACTCACAATTTAAATAGATGTCATAAGTGCTGACACACTTCCATATTACCAATTTTGCTGTTTCTGCTGATGTGGTTGGTATGTTAAGTGCATCTGAAGTTGAGAGATGAGTCACAGAGTGTCACTTATGCTCTAATGGTGCATGCTGGGCAGAAGCCAGTTCCCCAGCTGTGGTCTGGATAGAATTGTTGCAGAATTTATCACGGACACTTACCGCCTTATGTCAGCTTCAAGACAACTACTGTTCCTCCACAGGCTGACAGCACCATATGTAATCTCTCCATTTATTTACGTGGATATCATAATCATAATTTTCTAATGATTAATGAGCCTCTCATGTTCCAGACAGGGTCTTGGAGGTGAATTGTCTACCAAAAGAGTCACAGCCTCTTCCAGAAAGCTAACCAGACTCGATGTTGTGTAGCAGGAGTGTCCATGTCGTAAAAGGTCTGGCAATGAAAGGGGAAAAACAACCCCTATTTTTCCACTCTTTGCCTCCAAGCTGACTCGAACAGCTCTGACCTACTCTCTAGGCCACAGGTTTGGCTGACATGGAAGCTTTGGCTGGCTCGCTGCTACCCAGCCATGTCGTGTGGAGCTACGGATGGCAGGAGTTCATGGTAACGGCCAGAGCTGCCATGTTTTCCCAACTTTCTCCATGCTGTTTTTTCCACATGGGTGCTCCTCCACATGCCTGCATAGAGCTAGATGAAGCAAAGGTGGTGTTCTTGTCTATCAACTTCTCCCAGTGAGAGATCAGGGATGACAGATGTGCTTGCAGCCCTCCAAGCTCCTTCACTCCAAGGAACACAGTCTGTAATATACTAAGATCTGCTCCTGTACATGCTCAGCCAGTGGTCAAGCATACACAGCCCTTCTACTCACGCTATAGTATGCACAATTACACAGTGTTTTGACAAACAACCTGAATCAACTCTGCGCCTGGCTGTAATGTCCTGGGAGCAGGGCTTGGTTTGGTGGCTGCCTTGTATTGTCTGGCAAATCTGAAAGTGCGGTTACTAAAGCTGTGATGATTAAATCTCCTTTGGTAAAGCTCAAAGGCCAAAAGCAACTGGTCGTTTTGTTGGTTAGGCTGTGCAATGGAAATACCCACAAGCTCAGAAGTAGAGTGAGAAAGAGAAAATCTGATTGAGAGACATGGAGACACAGAGAGAGCTTCCAGCACTGCAAACTATCCATTTATCCATCCACTATCTATACCGCTTATTCCTGTATAAAGTTGTGGGGGGGTGCTGAAACCAATCCCAGCTGACATTGGGCAGGTCACCAGTCTATCACAGGGCTAACATGTAGACAAGCAGCCACACATACTCACTCCTAGGGGCAATTTAGAGTCACCAATCAATCTAAGCTGCCTGTATTTGGACTGTGGGAGGAAGCCGGAGAGAACTCACGCAGTCACAGAGAGAACATGCAAACTCTGCACAGAAAGGCCCTGGGTCGGCCCAGGCTCAAACCCGGATCCATCTTGTTCTGAGGTGACAGATCCAAGCACCATGCCACTGTGCTGCCTGCTGCAAACTAAAGGTTGCAAAACTTAGGTTAGTTTGTTTAAACAGCCTTAGTCCCCAAATTGGCTGATGCACATGATGCACAGGTATTATCCACCTCCAACCCAAGAAATTTCCATGTTACATTAAAACTAAAACAATCTTGGAAACGATACATCCAATCAACCTGTACTTCTAGAATTAAAATTACATGATTTGGCAGCAAGAAATACAACAATGGGATTTGAGAACATATTTCCTCAGTCTGAAATGCAGTAAAAAAGAAAGAAGAAGACTCTAGTGGCACATTACGTTGGCACAGAATGAACTTTGATACTGTATTTAAACCTTCCAGTGCTTCCAGTGTCACACTGGTTGTTGGTTGGTAGTGAACATAGTTTCTGTTTTCTGTGGTTTCTGTGTTTTAAATCCTTTGTAGTAGTGTAAGGCAGCTGGACTGGTGGCTAGAATATGTATATTGTATATGCATATAGCAGTGGGGGTTCCATGATACATCCCTAGGGAGGATGTTCTGAATGTAGCTGTGCTCTCGTGCTGATCATCTCAGCACTCTGTCTTGTACAACTATAATAGTCACCTTTCAGCTCTAAATTTTTTCAGCCAGAGAACTTGCTCATGATACAAAATGACAGAATATGCTTTGGCTTAGGACTGTATGTTTAAACCGAGGTATTATGAAATGTGACTAAGGCGAGAGCCTGGCTGCACCACATTCACACAGATTTGGCTGTAAATAAAGCAGCCTACTGTGTGACTGTTACTACAAATCTTTCCTGCAGAGCAGCGGCTTGACACCCACAGACACTGGGGCCTCTCCTCGGCATTGATCAGAAACCGTGCAGTTAACACTATAGTTACTGCATATGTTTTATGGTTCATATCAACCCATACGTTAACTGCTGAAAGGAGTTTTTGACATAATGTCCGGACATACAGAACAGTATTATGCAGCAAACATACATTGCAATGAACCAGTTAGTGTACATCTTGGTAATGGTAGTTAATGCTGTTGCTCTCATGTCTCCTCCTTGGAATCCAGCTGAAGTGCAGCTATAAATGGGCCTCTAGTCATGTAGTGTGCAATGTATACTTCCCCTTGTTTGTGGCTCTAATCAAGGTGTTATTTTCTCTGCAGTGAAAGAGAAAGCCCCCCTGAACAATGAGCCTTACATTGAAATCGGGTGAGGCACAGGTTCTTGAGTAATCTGTAGGTTAATAGGTTATGTATAACAAAACTGATGATAAACTGTTTAAAAAACCTATGATAACATAGGTGTAATGCCACTTTCCAGGTCTCTTTGGAAACCAGGAGCAGCAAACCCCTCAGCATTTGTCCATTGAAACTTGGGCACCATTTGCCTGTGGATAGGAAATAATTAGTTCCATTATAATTTGAATTATATCAGCCAGTGAATATCACATTTGACATGTAATCAGTAGTCAGTACCTATAGTAGAAACCTAAATACCACTGAATTTACTGCAATGAAATTTTTGACTCTGAAATCCACCTTTCTGAATTAACAGGGTCTATATTTTACTCTAAGAAATTCTTAGTAGTCTATTTCTAGTTGTGTAAAAACATTGTTTCCAATAATTGGAATTCTTAAATTCTGAGTTTTGATTCGCATGGTAAATATTCAACACCTGGATCCAAGTTGCTCTATTCAAATAAACTCAATTCAAAGCTAAAAAGCCAAATCAAGTCACAAATTTGTTGCCGTTTTGGTCAAATTTAGGACACAGAACATCCAGGGCACCAAATAAAAGCAAGTGGAAAGTATGCATACAGTAATCCAAGTTATTATAGCAGATTTTCTTCCCCACCTGCATCACTTCACAAATAATATTGAGTGACCCGACAATTAGCTTCTAACTCAAAAACAGATCAGTTTATAAAGGTTGGACATGACCTCTTGAGTGAAAAGCAGAGCTCAGACTCAGGCTTGAATAAGAAACTGAATTAGTGAGCCATGACTGACGCAGTAATCACACTCTGAAATCTAATGCTACATCACAATAAAAACTGTTCTTCTATGAGCAGTTTGTACTGAGAAGGATTCAGAATAACTTGTCACACTTCAGGATCACTTAAAGTCAAAATTCATCCGTCATGGGGACATGCAGTGATTTGGATGAGAGGGTTAAAGTCAAAGATTTTAATGAGAATAGAGTAAAATGACAATGGTGGATTTAGTTTGCCTTTAATGGTGGGGAGGATTGATGAATATACAGGTGCATATGCTGCTGCTGCATGTGACAATAAAATGCTTCATTTCAAGGCATCCAATGGATGATATCAGTTCGCTAGATAAGACTGTAAAGTCTGTATTAAATAAGAATATATCTGCAAATATACACTATATGACCTTGTTTGCCTAAATGACGCAGAGCTGCTGCTACAGAGAAGAACATCCCATCACGGGACATGTCTTTTCTAACATTGAATTCTGATGTTTGGTAATGTCACTGTTTTGTTAAGTTTCAAATAAAGGGAAAAAAATCCAGAAGCCTCACAGTTTTTAAACTATCATCCATAGAAACAGAAGATACATCATTGGCCTAGCTGTTTTTAAACTCAAACACTTGCAAACTATTCTAACTGACACAGCCATGATCACTAGCTAGATCAGGTCACGCTAAGAGGAAAGGATTTTGTAGAAGAGGTAAGTAGCGCTAAATCAAATTACAAGTTGGAAGCTGTGGTGGTGAAATCATGGGACTGTGGTGTAGCAAGTTTATAGTCTAACAATAGCTTTTTACTTCTGGCGATTGTATTTGGTCTTCAAAAATCATAAAAGTGAAGATGATTTGTGAAGATTATCTGAACAAAACATGTAAATGTCATAAACCGTTGTTTGTCACAGAGCTTATTTTCTGCAATAATCAAAAAGTCTGCAGAGTAAATTCTCCAGTGTAAAATATACAGTGACAATGTTTTGAGTATCTTCCAGAGTTATTACAACATCAGTAGGAGTAAGATGACTCCCAGTGTTGGTGAAAATGTCCAGAGTTAAACGACATGATTTTAAAATACTGCAGTGTAAAATATGCAGTGTCACATTACACGGACTCTTTCCGAGTTATCACAACAAGCTGTCTCATAGTGTTAGTGAAGATGTTCACTCTTCAGAGTACCCTGTACTCTGGATAGCCATGCCTAGCTCCTTCTTATCTCAAAAGGCTCAGAACTGTCACAGTGCCATTTTGCTGCTGTTGAAAGACTATAGTAAGTTTCTCCTAATTACATATTAAACATTTTAATAACCAAAAGTAGCCGGCGAATGTGTTTGCATTAACATTGTCAGTTTTTTTCTCTTTTTTCCATTAACTGGTTTTTAGAATTGTTTTTTAACAATAATTGTGAGAACTTTTCAAATGTTCATTGATATAGTTTCTTGTTGTATCAAGTTATGAGAGCAACCCATTGTTGTTCATAAAAAACACAAAAGAAAAAAAAATCTAGCACATCACGTTACACAAATGACTAAATTTCATTTGTGTAACGTGATAACTAGTAAAATATCTAATATGATTTTGTCACTCAAACAGAAATAAGATCATATTTACTTTTGTCAAACAACACCTTAAAGCTTAAAGCTTTCTTAAAACTTTTCCCCTTATCTAACTTCAATGTTCAGCTGCTGGTGGAGGATCTGGACACCTCAGCTGTGACTGGCTTTCTGTTCAACATCTAAAACTACTTTGGCTGCCAAGAAATTACACTGTCTGGAGAAAATCTCAGTTCACAAGTTCCTGCAGACAGTCGACAAAATAAGCTAATTTTATGCTCTAATGCTAAAATATAATCATCTTTGTACTTCAAATTCTACTGAATAAAATGTCCAGAAGGGCTTGTTTTTTACATGTTGCCCCGAATATGATAACACAAGTCTCTGGAGTAGGTTTGTCCGGCTCTTCAGCACATCTTGTTTGCTTTTGCACTTAAATGTAATGCCTTCAAACATCGTCATGACTACAGGATGTTTGGTAATGCAGGTGTAAAGGGAGTGTTAAGGAGAAATGAAAAACAGCGCTCATCCTAGCTGGAGTTCACTGTTAAATCCTGAGGGACATACCACTAAGACGAGGTTTCACTTACATCCACCTGTGTGAACAGATGAGCCGTTGAAATTGCGAGGTATGTGTGTCTCCTCTGGATAATTGACAATAAATCAAGTGCTGTGGGAAAAGGGAAAGTTGAGGGAGTATGTATGTGTCTGGGGAAGATAGGGTGGTGGAAGTGTTGAGAAAAGGCTAGGAAAGTCAGCAGCGTGGAAGATTGAGGGGTAGCAGTAGAGTGCAAGGGAAGCTGGGTGGGTTAAACTCGACACAACTTACTGGAGCACATGTTGAGTTCAGGGCTGCGCATGCCAAAGTATCCGGCTGGACAGTCATGAAGACACTCCCCGTACTGCCTCATCCTTTCTCTTCGCAGAAAGAGGAAGAGTTTGGGCTGGCAGTTTACACAGCCGTTGTCCCTGGAGCACACTGAGCAGCCTTTACAGATGGGGTACGCTCCATAGCTAGCTGCACAAAAAACACAGAGCATAAAACATCAAGAGTTTTATAAGATGGAATTAAAAAGACAATGCAAAAATGTGACAGTATGCTTCAACCAAACTACTTGTTTGATGGTTGAACAAAATCTGAAACTCTCTGATATTGATTTGAAGCCTCCTCCAGCGATTTTTGTAACGTTTTGAAATCTACAATACAACAAACACACAAACCAAACCACTTCTGAATAACTGAAAAGTCAGAGGGATAAAGGCAGGATCCTGTTGTCTTAGTGCATGCCGAGCAGGCTGCGTGGCCTTCTGTATCATCTTTGGACTCTTTCTCACCTTCAAACAGAGAGCTCAGGGAGCTCAGAGAAAGAAGTTAAAATCTAAAAATCCAAACTTAGAAACACTTCAAATAATTCTGCATCTACCAGCATTAATTGTGCAGACACCGTAGAGGAGGAGCACAGCAACAGAGTGGTTTCACCACAGGGTTTGACCACAGCTCCCAGCGAGTACAAAGGCCAGTCATGTTCTACAGCATAAGTGACAGGTAGAAGACATCAGGAAGCTAGTCTGAGTTTACTTCTCAGGATGATGATGTATAGTTTTATCAGATATTCTAATATGCTAACTGAAGTACCCAGAGTCTGTGATGAGCTCAGACCTACAGAGTTTTATGAATGAAGGAAGAAAAGAAATTGTCTGGCAATGTATTTACAGCGGTACTATCCAGTGTGAATTCTATTCTCACTCTCTACAGCCAAATAACTAGCTATAGAAAGGAAAGTGAAAATATAATATAATATAAAACAAATTCAACAGTATTAAATAGCAGCAACATGACTTCTTTAAATAATGTTTAGTTTTTGTTCAGTCATTTTTGAGACTTTACTCACTTTTCTGTAGTTATGAGCTGTAAAATAAAAAAAGGTGTTTATGATACATCTTTTCTTCAGAAACTGTGATAAAATTACTGAATTTTATCTATATGAATGAGAGTACAACAACAAAATATTAATAATAAAAATAACATAAGGATATTTACTTTGCAGGTCAAGTCAAAGTCAAAGTGTTTATTGTCATATGCACAGTTAGAAAATGTGTTTCCCTGTACAATGAAATTCTTACTTTGCCGTCCACATGAATGCCACAAAATGCAAATGAAATATAAAGTAGATAAATAAGTAACACAAAATCTAAGGCACTCTGTACCAGACAGTGATGCAGCTGGTCAAGATGCTCTCAATGATGCAGCTGTAGAAGTTGCAAAGGATCCTAGGCGACATGCCAAACCTCCTCAGCCTCCCCAGGAAGTACAGCTGCTGTTGGGCCTTCTTGACCAGCTGTGTGGTGTTAAGTGTCCAAGTGAGGTCCTCACTGATGTGGACGCCCAGGTATTTGAAGCTGCTCACCCTCTCCACTTCGAGCCCCCGGCTGAACAGTGGTTGATGAGATCTCCTCTCCTTCCTCATGTCCACTATCATCTCCTTCGTCTTGTCTGTGTTGAGGCTGAGATTATTGTCCTTGCACCATGACACCGCTGATGACATCATAGAGTTTACTGAGAGCCACAGAGGGATTAGCTCTTTGGCTAACATACACAGCAGCCAAAAACACAGCACTATGCTCTCTTGCTAGATAATAAGGCCGGCATTTCAGCAATAAAAACTTTACGTCTGGTGAACAGTACTTATAAACAGTCCGTACATCTCCACACCACGAGTTATTGATAAACACACACCACCTCCTTTTACCTTACCCGAAGCAGCAATGCGGTCTTCTCGATGTACTGAGTGGGTTTGTAGCTGAATCACGGAATCTGGAACTCTGTCAGAAAGCCAAGTCTGGGTGAGAACTAGAGCACAGCATTCTCTGATTTCCCGTTGTGCTGTAATCCTAGCCCTTAGCTCGTCCAGTTTGTTTTCCAGAGACTGTACGTTAGCTAGGAAGAGGATGGGTAATGGCGGTCGGGTAGCGCGAGCTTTTAGCCTAGCATGGAGTCCCCGCACTTGCGTCTCCGTCTCCGGGTCGTTCTCCTGATTTCAGCAAGGTGTTTACAGGTGTTTCTACACTACAGCATACACACAGCCTGGCTTCTACATTTTACCCAAGCTCTGTACACAGTTGTAGAAATGTTCTGCACTGGCATGAGTGACTGTATTACTATAAAGTTGCCTGTCTGATCCAAAATGGATCATGGACCTGTTTTATTGGGTCACCGATTAACAGAGTAAAATGTTTAACAGTGCTATGATATGTGAATTAGTTTTCCTAATTAAAAATAGACGAAGAGTGCCCTTTTGTCTACACTGGTCTGTTCCGGTCAGATGCTGTGTGCAGGGATCCCTCTCACTCGTGTCTCTCTTTTCAACCTGATCTTAGCAGGCACACACTGGCCATTGGGAAGTTCAAGAATTTTCCCAGTGGGTCAGTTTGTTTTCCCCAAAACCATTTAGACATTATACATTATGCAGATATTAAACAGACCGTCTTGCAAACTGTAGCACTGAGAGCTGTAGCCATCACAGCTGCAAAGTTGCAGGTGGTAGCAAATAAAACTTGGAGAGACAGGAAACCTGCAGCCAGTGGTGCAGAAAAGGAGTGGCAGAAAAAGAAAACAGATTTGTTGGCTTATGCTAGGTGTGCAAAAGTAGCTAACAGAACTATACACAGCTGCTGTGTGTGATGATGCGGAATCTAGCGAAGATGTAAGAGCATCAGAGAGGAGGTTGGTCTGTCCATACTGAATTTAATAAATATAACACAATATTTGATGCAGTTATCAGACAGTCCCAATGATGTTTGTTTCATACAAGTTCATTAGGAGGTGGTGAAAAATTTAACATTGCTTTCAGCAATTTCATTATTGCTGTGATGTACTTTTATAATGAAAAAAATACATGTCATATACATTTTAAACTTTTGTTTTGTTGTGTTCATTATCAGTAGATTATAAATGTAGATGTGTTGTAGATGATTATGTGTATTTTTGATGTATTTATTGTAAGTTTTAAGAAATGAGAGATCAAATGTCTCTTTTGGGTCTCAAACTTTGAAAAAGTCTGGGAACCCAGACTATAGAGAAAGCAACACCAAACATCTTGCATTGCACAACACTTGACACCTCACCACTGTGCCTTTGTTTGTGTTAATTTGAAACATTTTGTTCACAAACAAATTTCCTGTCTCTTTCCTGCTACCTTGTGCACGATGATGATGTGAACCTAGTAGTGGTTAGGATTAGTGTTATACTACAGTGTGCATAGCTCATAATGCTGATCATGTCTAGAAAGCCGAAAAGAAAGTAGGAGTTTTAAATGTAGGTCAGTGCTGCTGTTCATTTTTGCTACAGCCACACTGGAAGATGCATTTAGCATGGTGGTTGGTCAGGAGGCTGTTTATGCTGTACTAGTAACAAAAAGCTGAATTCTTTTATACTGTGGTGTCATCACTCATGCGCAGATGACCTTGGCTTCACCTGATATCAAGAACAGGGTGAACTTGAGACAACAGACTAATGTGGGAGGGCTGACCAGCAAAACACAACCCAAGTACAAGAATAAACCCCAAACAACCATAACAGATATATCAGCGGGATATTTTCTAATCCACACTAAATATGTCCAATCCAACAATTTGTCATTCATGCAAACTCTGTTCCCCCCTTGAATGCTGATTGGTTATAAATGGGAATATTGCATTAATTCTGGTCAGAGCTGGCCCCCCTGAACAATTGCTTTGAGACAGCTGATGAAAGGACCCAAAAACCACAGTGGCTCTGGCCTCAGCTCGAGTTGCCTGTGGAAGACAAAGGAGCCAGTAAAAAGACAATCCATTCCACAATAAGTGACTTTCGATGTAAACTCTTTGAGCATCCCGTTTACACAAAAATGCCTTTGGGCCAATCCACTCTCACCAAATGAGAGACACTTCAGCTGATTTAAGCCAAGTCTTAAACATCACAAGCATGGGCCGAGTAACAGTAGAATTCAGACTGAGCGACCTACCACAACGCTTAATAAAACACTGGGCAGCAAACTGGACAAACACTAAGAGACTGAGCAGAGCACTGGCTATGGATTCGCATATTAGATTTCTCTGAACAGAGTTACCCAGAGGAAAGTGAGTGCTAAGTAGGCCCAGTGCAGGCAAGAATCAGTCTGTAATCATGAAAATCAGTCAGCGAATGTCGGTGGCTGCCTTGGACTCATCTTTCTTAATTTCTTTTGGTGGAGCACTGGGAGACAGACTTCAGAGAGGTATGCATTGCCAAACTATACTCATTCTCCTGAAGCAGGGGTGTGGGGAGGTAAGATTAAGTGCTAATCAGAATCTGTCTCTGATGGTCTCTAGGGATGATGTGTACAGTGACACCCCATTGATCACAGCAGCCTCTGGCATGTGCACTCCAAGCTTATTCATCACGCACTTATTCATCTGTAGTCGACACTCTTGGTAAGATATGAAGGAGAAATAAAAACCCTAAATTATGACTAACTTCTTCTCTTCTTCTCTTGTGACATGGAAACATGTTTTATGTTCAACTGTCAATTACTGTCTGAAATATTATTTTTATGTCTCTGCGTTGGCAATAATCATGGCCGGAGGCATTAGTTTCAGGTTGTTCACCCATCCATCTGTCCATGCATACATCTGTCCCATTTTCATGAACAAGATGGGGCATAATTATTCAGGCTCTGTGACTCTTTTATGGTATTAAATTGTGAAACTGAATGTGATCAGACTTACTAAGGAGTCACAGTAGGGTTTTGAGTCCTTTGACTGCTTTAACATGCTCCACCTCACACTGTTAACACTGATTTTTGCTTTTTCTGTGTACCACTCATGCACAGTAGCAACCAGAGGTGTAGACAAGGAAACCTCTTCTGATTGGCAGGCAGTGTTTGAGACTTTTTGCAGATAACAGGTCCTCGGTAGCTGGTTGTTTGTAGTTTGAAAATGCTTCTTATAAGGGAGGCGACAGTGGTGCGGTGGGTAGAGCAGTCGTCTTTCAACCAGAAG